AAAATATTGCACAAATAATTTCTCGTAAAAATTAAAGAAATGTAAACACTTTGGAACAGTTACAATTCTGTTTCTGTTTTTTTTTCCCCCCTACTCACTTGATTCTATTCTCAGGATTTGGTGGTGCTTCTTGTATGAATCTCTGATTTCACAACTTAACTTGTTTCTCCTTGTAACTTTGAAACATCAAGACAGTTTGTTGTCAAATACCATTCAAAATGCTTTTACTTTTTTGTACTCCCTAACAGCAATCATCCCTTACCTGTGTTATAGTTGATGAGGGGTGAGAGAACTTGATATCCCTATCCACAGGATCTTTGCCATTTCCCCCTCTGAGATTCCACCTTCTTCTTGTCAAGTAGCAAAGGAAAAATATAAATGGGCAAGTAATAGTATCATCAGGCCCACTCCTGAATTCTCTTGCGTTTGTTTTGCCTTAATCACTCGTACATATGCTGACTAGCTTCAGAGTCTTTCAAAGTTACAGCTTGTGTTGATGCTAATTTGGAAAACAATGATAAGATTGATACTACAAATACTTTTCTCCTGATTCCCTTAGCAACCGTCTCTAAATTTCATAGAAAATTTCAATCCATGTTGTCAGGAAGGTAACCTTAAGAATACATTCAAACGATGCCAAGGAGGGTAATCGGCATCCTTACTTCCATTCGGGGGGCACTGAGACCTTATCTCTTTGGGGTAAGGTTCTCAGCGCAGGGCAACTCAGACTCCTGCGTTTACTCCATCCATCTGCTGGCTTCCTGAATACAGTGAAGAGAGCCTTTTCTGTCCTTTCTCTGGACTGAGTGAAGGCAGAAGGACTGAAAGGACTAGGAAAAAGAAGTCCATGCCCATCTTCACCCTCAGAAGGTACTAACTAGATAACAGTTTTCCAGCTGCTGTCCACTGACCCTTGAGAAATAAACAAATTACCATGGCATGTGTGTACCTATGCAACAATCCTGCAGGATGTGCACATGTACCCCAGAGCTTAAAGTACAATAAAAAAAAATTAAAAAAAAAATAAACCTGTCTTTCTATACAAAAAAGATATTCTTAAAGCCAGGGATTGCAGAATATATACATTCTTAAAGCCATGTATATATTCTGTAATCCCTGGCTTGAGGAAAAAATTGCCATGGATGAGGGTTAGTTACAAGCAAGCAGGTAAGATCAAGTTGCAGACATCTTCATGCTGGAAACTAGATCCTGCCACCCAGAGTGGATGGGGTTAAAGCAGACACGGGCAGGCTGAGCAGCAGCATCCCAGCCAGGCCTGTCTGAAACATCAGTCTTGGCTGCCCTATTGCCCTCTCCCCTGGAGGCACCGTGGGCATTATCTTCTTTTCATGCCAGAAGAGGAGGTGGATAGGAGAAACCTGACCCTTTAATGCCAGACACCCCGTGCAGCTGAGGCAGGGCTGGATTCTCTTGCCAGACTTGGCTGGTCTCCCTCTCTGTTCGAGGCAGCATCAAGAAGATTGATTTTTGCTAGCCAGCCATAATGGGAGACTGTAATGGCTGAGAGGGAGACACTTAGCTTGTGGACACCTTGTACAGGTACCAGTTGCTTTGGGGGTGAGCCAGGCAAGCCTTCTTGCTTTTTGGTTTTATCTTCTTCCCTCCCTTCCACTCTTCTCCTCCATTTTCTCTTCCCCTTCCCCTCTCCATTATCACCCGCTTGGTCTAGAAACGCTCCATGTATCCAGGACTCAGACCCCCTTGGCTTTGGATGCAGCATGCTCTCTCCTGAGATACTCCCAGTTGTCTCTGCCAACTGCATATACGGGAGGAGCCTCTGCCACACCCCAGAGGGGCCTCCCCACACGTTCCTCGTGGCATTCCAAGATGACCTTCAGGCTTGCAGGGAAGTACGAGCTTTTCCTTGTGGAGTTTGACTGCTCCCAACAGGAAGCAGAGAGCATGACTGCCACAGGAGCTGAAGGGTGGTCCCCAGGAGCTCAACTTGACTGTGACTCAGCTTATGCCACTTGTAGACCTTTGGGGTGAGGAGAAGGGAATTTGGTTTCTGGTAGGTGGGGTCAGCTATTTGGGCTTGCGTTACCAAGGCACTGTGGTCAGTTAACCCCTCCTGGGAGGAGTTCTCCAAATTCCAAGCATGGGGGGCCGTGACTTCTTCTGTCACAGGTCCCCTGATCTGCCAAGGGTGCCTGCAGTGTTGTCTGCTAGTCCCAGCCACCCTCCAGCTGCCCTGTGCTTGCAGAGGCAGCAGAGCAGAGATAACAGGCTGGACAGGTAGAGAGTAATGGCATCTCTTTCCTGGTTCTCCTCTCCCATCCAAGTGGCAAGATCCTGTTTCTGTTGCTGCCACCAGCTCTCAAGGGTGGGACCAAGGCTTCAGAAAGATGGGAGGTTTACCCTCAGTTATGGGTGGGCACTCTGTTGGACTTCCTTCTTGGAGGAGCCAGACTCTTTTGGAGCAGGGAGAGCCTTTGATTATAGCATGGCTGGGAAGGAATTTTGGAGGCCACTGAAGCTATTCACTTAGCACAGGCAAAAGGGCACACATAGAAGTGAAGTCTATTTTGAGCATTAAGTTCCAGACACTGCTATTACTAGTGGGAAGGGGTGACCAAAATTCAAGTGCCGCCTGCTGTGTTTCCCCTGACCCAGGTTATCTCTCAGAGCAAACCATTTCCATGAACATCATTCTTAAATCACAGCTCAGAATAAAGAGGACACATAAATGAGCCCTGCCATTTCTCCAACCTCATGTTACGTTTTCAGCGATTTGCTATTCTAGTAAGCTAGACTTCAGCCCCACAGCCTGCCCCCCAGCTTCTCTGACATTTCTGTTTACATCCCGTGATTAAATGTTGCCTCTTCAGCAGTGCCATCCCAAATGGCTCTGGATGAAGGTGCATCCCTCTTTCCTGCAAGTCATCCTTCCCATCAACAGGTGTTTTAGTTTCTTCTACATAACCTTACTGGAATCATCTGAAATGATCTTGCTCATTGTATTTCTTTGCTTATTTTTGTGGGGAAGGTCTGTCTTTCTCACTGGAGTTTAACATTCCTGAGAACAGGGACCTTGGCTGTCTTGCATGTCACCGTTTTCCCAGTGCCCAGCAGGCAACAGGTACTCAGTAGATATATACTGGATACAATTAAGTAACAGTAGTAATAGCCTTGCCTTACTGATGCAGAGACTTTCCTGGGGGTGGGAAGCCAGGATCCCTGGGGCCAGAGAGAAGAAAAGGGGTCCCATTGACATGTCCTGGGCCATTATTTCTTAACTGACTCTTTGTCCCCCACGTGGCTGATGTGGCTCCCCTCCTGCCCTCTCCCACAGGGTCTCTCTGGGTGATGCTGATATCTGCATCATGCTCCTTCTACTGTGCTCAGTCACACAGCCAAGAGACAATACGATAAAACACTTCACTCTCCAATTCAGCACACAAACTTAATTCTTAACTCAAGGCAATACAATGGCATACCACGATACTAACGTAACAAAGAGTAAAATTGCCTTATTAATCCGCAAATACCTTCTAAGGAGAATCCTGTAAAATGAAAGACCCTTTTGTTCCACTGAATGCCTTGATGGACTCTTATCCACATGAGAAGCCTGGAGATGAGACAGCCAGACAGGGTTCCCCAGTGAGGGCAGCTGAAAGACTTTTAGGAATTGAAATGTGCAATGTTGTCTTTGAAGATATGTGTATCTCAGCAAAGTAAATATCTTGATCACTTGAGCCTTTGGTGAGGCCAACCTCATATGTAAATGCTGTGTGAGAGAGTGTGTGTGTGAACAGAGAAGGGAGGTCAATCCTGTTTGGGTCATTATGACATCTAATAGAGATGTTTTTGGAGATCCATGCATTGAACTCATTAAGTGGACAAAGAAATTTGGGGCTAGAATTGAGAATTCATATACCCTGCCCATATTATCTACCTTCTCCAGTCCCAGTTATCTGACTTCCAACTGCCAGCTTTGGAGCCCAAGGGCTTTCTCTGAAACCTAGGAGGACTTCCCTGCCCACCTTGGGCAGGCTGGAGTGCTGCAGGTTGATGTACCCTGGCAGCTTTTGACCAATGTCTGGTGAGAACTGGTGTGCAAATACCCCAGCCCATTGGATGGGATAACTCAAAGGTCTGTGTTCTACATTGACCTCCAGTTTTGCCGCAGGACTGATTTCCAGTCACCTCCGTTGGTGACTGTCTTGATAACATACCTTTATTGTCTTCTTCCTTGTCTCACTTCCCCACTCACCTACCTATGCTTCCCTCACCTCCTGTCACAGTGAGGTCCCTATAAGTAAAGCCTGAGACAAAGGTGTTGTTCATGTGATTTAGCAGACTAGTGTCCTCAGGAAAGAGGAGAGAGGGCTGTAAAATGGGGCAGGGAAAGGAGGTGAACAAGGATGCAGTCCTGGCTGGAGCCTGGCTTCAGCCTAATCCCTTGGGGGAACTTCTGGAGCACAAGTTGTAACAAAGAGTTAGTACCCCCTTCAGGTAAGGGGGCCAGCCTTTGGAACCCCACTTTAGTTAGACATTTCCTGAGGCTTTCCCTGAAGTAGTATGGTAGCATACAGCCTCCAAGCTGAGGCAGTGCCCATTTGACCAAAGGCAGCTGTTGAGAGATCAGCTGTGAAGTGTTGGCAGCCAATAATGACAGCTGAAGATGGATGTACCTGTCAGTATAGTGGATCCCAGGGAGCCCCAGAGCATCCAGTACACCCCCCCCCCACTAAACTTGCAGCCTAACCTCTGTTTCAGGGTCTGGTTCTGGGATATAGAATGGGAGACAGGGAGACAGGTTTATCCAGATATTAGGAGAAGGGAAACTTCAGATTTCTTGACATTATATTCAAGTTCCTATTTGTTCACCTGATTCCTGGGGTTATTTTGGATAGTTGGGGGAATTAATTATCCGCAGAGTGACCCTTCTCTCTCCATCATTCATTTGGTGTGGAATGGTGCCTCTCCTTTTCAGCTTTCTCATTTTCACTGTCAGTCATCTGTGGGCGTGGAGCTTTCTGCTTTCTTCCTGCATACACCCCTCCCCCCTCTGCATCAGGTCTACATACTGAACACTAATAGCTGAAATGACAAAAATTTGCCAGGTATTACCAATATAGCCAGCTGCTTCCTCAGAAAGCCACCTTCCCACCCATTAGTCTGTGGGAAGAGGTATTTGGTGTTGTAGGACTGGGTTTCTGACTTATATTTTCTTCCTGGTAGCCTAGCCCCTCTGGGATACCATGCACCACATCCCATCTCTATGGGGCCTTGACACGCACCTAATTTTTGCCAGTCCCTGGCCCCAGAGAGCCAGATTCTGTTTCCAGTAGTTCTAGTCAGCAACTGATTCTGGAAAAGTTCTGCTCAATAGAAATATGATGTAAACCACATATTTTCTAGTAACCACATTAAAAAGGAGAAATTCGTTTTAATATTATTTAACTCTGTATTTTAAAAACCACCATTTCAACATGTCAATACAAAAATTATCAATAAGATACTTAATTTTTTTTTTCATATTAAGTCCTTGGGATCTGGCATGTATTTTATGCTGATAGTGCATTTCAGTTTGGACTCGCTGCATATCAAGTGCCTAATAGCCACATGGGGCTAATGGCTGCTGCACTGCAGAGTTCAGTTCCAGTCCCTGGTAGTAACTTGGCTTTCTTGACGTGGACTATCTGCAGGGTCTAGGCTAAACTCGAAAGCATGTGAAGCCAGGTTGTGGCTGAGCCTGAGGTCAAGATGAGGCTGAGGTGCAGTGACAGGTAGGGGTGCTGGAGGCCTGGAGGTCCTGTCCAATGGGGGCTTTCCAGAGTTGGAGGCCATGGGAGACAAGCAGTTTCTGATGCTTGTGGCAGTCAAGAGGTGGTAAAGATATGACACTTACCCGAGATGCTAGAGGAACGTTCAGAGCAGTGTTTTTAACATTTTTGAAACCATCCCAAGATACTAGCAGGGATTGGGAGAGATGGACAAGCTGTTAGGCTGAGGCCGATGCTGTTTGGGGATCCAGGACTGCCTCATTTATGTGAGGCCAGATGAAAGCAAATGGTGCTGATCTGTGACTTGTCTATTCAATATTAGGAAAGCCAACCATCCTTAATTCTAATTTTTTAAAAGGAAGATTTCAAAAGGCAAGAAGTGACGAACACATTTAACCAGCATGCTTTCTATTGCATTATTGAGTCCTCAGTGTAGGTGTTAAAAGAAAACAGGCACATGTTTTGTATTGACCTCTTTAAAAAGCACTTGTAGATTTTACCAATTAGCTGAGTGATCACCTAACAGTGTTTTGATCTGGACTGTATTTCTTGTTTTAATGATTAGCATTTCATTTCATACTTTAGACTCTTTGTGAAAAGCAAGATAAATTGCCCTTATTTCTTCCCCTTGATCAGCCACACATGGTGCTGCATAAAGAAAATGATCATTTTTTTTTTACACTCAGATGCCTGTTACCTGACTTTTGAGCAAAAAATACTCACCTCATTCTTCAGCAATTACTGGGCTTGTCTAATTGACTCACTTAGAAATAATTTAAAACTCAGAATTTTTTAACTTTCACTTTTGGTGGACTTCAACCATTGAAAGAATAGAATTTTATTAAGAAGAGATTTTGTTTTTAATTTACCACAGTATTATTCTGATATACTGTATGTACTCAAATATTTTTGAATAAATGAATGAGTTGCATCATTTCATTTACCTTGTAAGGTTATCATTTTTTGATTCCAAAAAATACTGTTTTATATATATATATATATAGGCTTTTAAAAATTATTTTTCTGGAGCAAATTCAGAATAAATAAAACATACACGCACACCAACCACTATAGGAACTATTATACAGTGTTCTCTCATTTGTTCTGCAAGTTGCCTTTTCACAGAATGCTGTATTGAAGATCCACCTATGTTAAGCACAAATAGTTCCACATCACTTTTTTTGAGACGGAGTTTCCTTCTTATCCAGGCTGGAGTGTAGTGGTGTGATCCTGGCTCACTGTAACCTCTGTCTCCTGGGTTCAAACGATTTCCCTGCCTCAGCCTCCCAAGTAGCTAGGATTACAGGCGCGCACCACCACACCAAGCTAATTTTGTATTTTTAGCAGAGACAGGGTTTCACCATGTTGGCCAGAGTGGTCTCCAACTCCTGACTTCAGGTGATTGGCCTGCCTCGGCCTCTCAAAGTGCTGTGATTACAGGCGTGAGCCCCTGAGCCCGGCCCACATCACTCTTTTTGACTGTTTCATGATATTTGGTAGTGTGGCTGAATCATAGGTTAGTCGTTGCCTTAATGACAATGACTAAAGTTTAGTTAGTCAATGGCTTAAGTAGCATCTAGGTTATTCTCAATTGTTTTTGTTGTTTTAAGATCTGTTAGACTGAATACGTTTGCACATCGTTGTCTTCTGCGGCTCCGTGCTTGTTTCTCTAAATTGGTGCTGAGCAGTGACATTGTAATTTATAGACATGTCCAGTTTAAGCTTTTGAAGATCATTCCAAAATGCCCTAAAAAGTAAAAATTTATTCTACTACAATTCATACTTTTGCTATCCCTATCTTTGCCTACATTTAGTATTAGTGAACGTTTGCTTTCACCAGCTTGTTGTGTGAAAAATTATATCTATTTTATGTTGGTGAGGTAATTTTTCTATGGCAAATATATACAAAATAATATATATATATATATATATATACACACACACACACACACACACACACACGAATACACAGTTCAAATAATAAAACAGGCACCCAAGTCCCTACTGCTCAGCTAAATATTGTCATAGAATTATCTTGTGATCCTTTCTGATTGTGCAGCAATAATTCACTCATTTTTGCTCCTGTATAAGAATACACCATGACTTTTCTATTTTACAATGATGGACATTTGGGTTATTTCTTGTTTTTTCCTGTTAGGGACTCTGAGCCTATAAGCTTTCTTATGGCTGACATACATGTGCAAGAGCATTGCTAAGGTATTCCTAGTCATGAAATTGCTGAATTCTAGGTATAGCGGATACTGACAAAAATGAAATTTTGTCTGCCCAAGTTCATTTTCCCCATCTTACACATGGGCGTTCATCTAGACTGCATTTCCCAGCCTCCCTTTTAGTTGGATATGGCTATGTGACTACGTGCTCACTAGTAGAATTTAAGCAGCTTTCTATTCTGCTAGGTTAGGATCAGAGACTTAGAGTGGTGGGTGTACCTCTTCCATGCTTTCTTCTGTTTTCCACCTAGACAAAACCAAAACATGGTGGTGACCCAACTTAAATTTTGCAGAAACTGACTTAGAACCGATTACCTGAATGACCATGAGGATCAAAGCTGTCCCACTGACCAGACTGTAAACTTGGGAACTGATATGTGAGAGAGAAACTTCTTTACCTTAAAGCCATTTATTGTTAGTGTCTTTATGATGTCAGCCTGTACTTACTCTAGTTAATACATAAGGAAGCACATGTTAAACTTCACTGAGGGATGCCATACTCCTATCCAAAATGTTTAAAGCAATTTACACTCCCACTGGTATTTTACGACAGCTCTTGCTGCTCTCTATCCTACCAACCCTAGCTGTTGTCTGACTTTATTATGCTTACCTATCAGTGGGTGAGAAGCATTATCTCAGTATTGTTTTCATTATCAATGAGGTTGTACATTTTTTCAGATATTGTTAGCTTATTCATAGTTACTTGTATCTGAAATGTCTATTTGAATCTTTTGTCCCCTTTTTAACACTGGGTGCTTTTTTGTAGTCAAATATATAAAATTTTCATTGTAGTCATTTTAACTGTATAATTCACAATGCTGCACAATCATCACCACTATTTACTTCCAAAGCCCTTTTATCACTCTAACCAGAAGCTCTATACTCATTAAGCATTAACTCCCAATTCCTCTGCCCCCCTCAATCCCCTGGTAACCAGTAACCTTGCTATCTTTGTGAAATCACATATTCTATGTATTTCATATAAGTGGAGTCACACAGCATTTATCCTTTTGTATGTGGTGTAAAAATATGGAGTGCTTCACAAATTTGCATGTTACCTTTACAGAGGGGTCATGCTAATCTGTATCATTCCAATTTTAGTGTATGTGTTGTCAAAGTGAGCACTTGGGTGCTTTTGACACATTTATTTCATATTGATTTATAGAAATTTTTTATATATTCTAGATGCCAATACTTTTAAAATTAAGTTGCAGATATTTTCTCTCATTGTATGGCTTAACTATGTTTATGGTGTCTTTTTGCATCAAAGTTTTCATTTTGTTAGTCAAGTATATCTGTATTTTCCTTTATAGTTTGTGCTTCTTGTGTTCTATTTATAAAATTCTCCTCCTTACAGCCCACTTCATTGAGCTATTCTCCTCTGTCATATGCAAAAATATTATGCAGTCTTCCATTTAATATTGGTTTTCAATCCACCTGGAATTGATATTTGTATGAGAAAGGAATCTAATTTTATTTTTCAAATTGTCTCGCCAATGCTTATTGAATAGTATATTCTTTCTCACCACTTTGTAATGGTTCCCTTGACATGGATTTTTCATATGTACATTGGTCCTAAATCTCTATATCATTCCATATTGTTTTAATTATGGTAGCTTTATAGTAAGTTTTGATAGTTGGTAAGGCAAAGCCTTTCATTCTGTTTGTCTTCAAAATTGTCTTCGTTATTCTTGCCTTTGCCTTTGAATTTTAGGGTCAAATTGTCAAATTCTTCAAAAATATTATGGGTATTTTTTTGTACTTGCCTTGAATCTATAGGAAAAATTGGGGAGAATAGCCATGAGATTTCCAGTTATTTAAATGTTGTTTAATAGTTTTTTATTATTATTTTTTAATTTGCCTCATTTCTGGATTTTAATAATGTTTTACATATTTTTTCTGGACAGGCCTTTAAAAGCTTTCTTAGGATTTGTTCCAATATATATTAGAGTGTTTATTGCCATTAAAAATGCTGTATTATTCACATGGACACAAAGATGGGAACAATAAATACTGGGGATGGCTTGAGTGGGGAAGGCAGGAAGGGGTGGTGGGTTGCAAGGCTACCCATCGGGCGCTATGCTCGCTGCCCTGGATGATGGATCATTCATACACCACGCCTTATTTACCCACATAACAAACTTGTACATGTACCTCTGGAACCTAAAATAAAAGTAGTAGAAGGAAAAATGCTGAAATTTTAAAAACTTGCTTATTTGTTGCTTAAGTTTAAGAAAACAATGGATTTTTATATATTGACTTTGTAACTAGCAAACTTGCTAATGATTTATGTTTGGTCTAATGATTTGTCTGTACGGTCTCTGGAGTTTTTTTTTTTTTTTTTTTTGTCGCTATTTGTTTTTTTCCATTTATTTTATTGCATTTTAGGTTTTGGGGTACATGTGAAGAACATGCAAGATTGTTGCATAGGTACAGACGTGGCAGTGTGATTTGCTGCCTTCCTCCCCATCACCTACATCTGGCATCTCTCCCCTTGCTATCTCTCCCCAACTCCCCACCCCCCACCGTCCCTCCTCTATTTCCCCCCAACTGACCCCAGTGTGTAGTGCTCCCCTCCCTGTGTCCATGTGTTCTCATTGTTCAACACCCGCCTATGAGTGAGAACATGCGATGTTTGATCTTCTGCTCTTCTGTCAGTTTGCTGAGAATGATGGTTTCCAGGTTCATCCATGTCCCTACAAAGGCCACAAACGCATCGTTTTTGATGGCTGCATAATATTCCATGGTGTATATGTGCCACATTTTCCACTGAGTCTCTTGAGTTTTCTACAAAATCTTGCTGTCTGTGACCTGATGTAGTTTTCTTTCATTCTGTCCTCTCCTTATGTTTTTCATTTCTTTTTTATGTCTCACAGTGCTAGCTAGGACCAGCAATAAAATGCTGACAAGAAACAAGGAGAGTAGGCGCCCTTTCTTATTCCCAAAATGCTTTCAGTGTTTTGCCATGAAATGTAATGTTTTCTCTGGGGTTTGGATTGATACTGTGTCTCCAGATAAGGAAGTCCCTTTCTGTTCTTTTATTAAATATTTTTTAATTGTCAAAATGTTCTGAGTTTTAATCATCTATTCTGTCTGTGTCTATTGAGATGATCATATATATATTTTGTCCTTTAATCAGTAAATGAGACAATAGATTTCTCTAAAATTAGATGACTTTCAATCCTGGGACAAGGATTATATCAGCTTCCTAACGTAATTTGGGAAATACATCCTTGAGCATTTGGAGTAGAACCCACTAACAAAGCTTTCGACTTAATGTTGTTTCTTTTTTTGGTGGGTAAATTTTTAATTACTGATTTAAATTATTTCACGATAATCGCTCTTCTCAAATATTCTAATTTTTATTGTGAACAGGTTTGATATGTTGTATTTTCTTCTCAAGAAAAGTTGCCATTTCATTCAAATGGTTCACAGCGTTTTCTACTGTTTTAAAGTTTTACTCTATCTGTATGCCCTGCTCTCCATCATAACACTATTTTTGTTTTGTCCCATTAAACACTCCACTTCACCTCTTGCAAACTAGCATAATCTTGTCAGAGCTTTTTTGTATTTTGTTTATTTCTTTCAGTGAGTAAGCTTTGAGATGTGGAGCCTTGTTGATAATTTATTTTTCATTCCTGTGTTTACATATTTATCTTACCAATTTTCTTCTAGTCTAATATTCCTTCTAATATTCCAAGGTAAGGTATACATTTTCTGTAGATATCACTTTAGCTGCATGCCAAGGTTTTGAACGGTAGTGTTATAATTATAAAATTTTAAATATTTTTCAGTACCTGTTATGATTCCTCATTTAAAGGTTATTTAAATGCGTTTTTCAGAGTTTTTTTGATTATTGATTTCTGATTAAATTGTGTTTAGGTCAGAGAATACGTTCTGTATGACAAATTGTTTAGTCTTTTTTGAGCCTTACTTTTTGGCTGGCAAGTTGTCAGGTTTTGCAATTGTTCTACGTCTACTGGAGAAAGTATAATTGCTAGTGATTGGATAGGGCTCTATACACTAAATTACATCAAGTTGTTGATTTCTTCCATTTATTTACCAATTTTCTTCTGTCTGATTTATAAATAACAAAATAAGTTATGTTAAAATCACTCTCTTATGATAGATTTGTCCACATCTTCTTGAGATTCTGCCGTTTTATTCTTTATATAATTTGAGGCTGTGTCTTAGACACATAGAAACTCAGAATTTGTCTTTCAAAAAGAATTATTCCATTTGTTATTTAATGATCCTTTTTATTAATGTTTTTATCTTAATATTTATTTTTTTGGGGTATTAATCTAATTAGCTCAGTTCTAAAAAATATTTCCCTGGTATTTTTTTCTTACCTGTTTACTTTGAACACATGTGAGTCATTATGTTTTTGGATGTGTTTCTTCCAACAGTATATAACCGGATTTATTCTTAACCAATCCAATGTTTGTCTTTTAAATGATGAGTTTATTTCAGCTATATTTATTCTGATTGCTAGTAATTTTAGATTTATTTCCATTATCTCAGTTTGTGCTTTCTATATACTATGCTCCCCACCCCACCCCCAAGTTTCTATTGTACTGATTAATTTTCATTAATCCTCTTCTTTTCCTCTGCTTATCTAGTGGTGGTCACCTTTAACATTTTAAAGCACGGTTGATTTGACATCCTCTAAAATTATTCAATATTTCTGCTTGCTTTCAAATAGGTACCAGGGTATTAGAAAACTTTCAGCTTTCCAATACCCATCTTAAATGCTGTTATTCAATATTTTAGTGTTATCTTGTTTTTAGGAACACTAATGATTTACCCACATGTTTGCCATTGGGTAAACAAGTAAACTTTCCTCTAACTTTGCTCTTCTGAATTATCACCTTCATTCCTGAAATAGTTCCTTTAGTAGATCTCTTAGAGATAGTGTCTTGGTGGTAAATTCCCTCAGTCTTCCTTTAAAATGTCTTTAGTTTTGTTTTGCCCTTAGTCTTGAATACAAATTTATCTGGATATAGAAATTTAGGTATATATAATTTTAGAATTAAAATTGTAAATATAATTTTATTTTCTTTCTATATATACATCTTGCTGCTGAGAAGTCTAATTGTCATTTCATGTGAGTAACTTGTCATTTCTCTCTGATAGAGAAAAAAGAAAACAAAACAACCTTTAAAGCTATCTTTGGTGTCCTGAAGTTTCATTATGATTTATCTAGTTAGGATTTTTTTTTGGTTGTTGTTTATTCTACTCAGGACTTCTTAAATCTGTGCTTCTCTAATCTGAATAATTCATTTGTCAGTTCAGAAGTTTATCTGCCATTGTTTCTTTAAGTGTTTCTCATCCTACCATTCCTTCTATTATTTTCTCCTAAGTATTAAATAATTATAGCCTTTTCTTTGCATCACCCATATTTTAATGGTTTTTAAGATTTTATATCTCTTTGCTCTTCTGTTACATTACAGTTAATTTTGAAAAATTATTTCAAAGTTCAGTAGACCACTCTTCAAGCATATTTAATCTCTTACACCTATCCATTTAGTTTTTAATTTCGATGTCTATTTAAATTTTTCCTGTTCTATGTGGTTCTCTCCCAAATCTATAGATTCTTTTTATACTGTCTTCCTTTATTATTTAAAATACCGATATCTAAAAATCTTTCTTTAGTAGTTCTACATTACAGGTCTAATCTTGTTCTGGGAATTCTGTGGAGATTGTGTGCCTCTTGCATTTTCTTCCTCCTAATGTTCCCAGGGTATTATCTACTTATAACTGCATTTTTTCAGTGGAGTTCTTGGCTTGGGAGATCTGAGATTATTCAAGTAGCATAAATTTGAATTCGAAATCTATATGCGTGAAGGCCTATGATAAGAATTCTGAGGGGAGATTATTTTTTCTTACCCACTCTGCCCAAGCCAAGAGCCACAAGCATCCTTGTTCTCCTTCAGGACAGTGAGTAAACGTTTCCTTTCATCCATTCTTTTAAGGAAGATGTTGCAATTTAAAGCTTCAGATATATGCAGTTGTCTTAGTTCCAACCTTCTGCCTTGTATTCATTCAAAACCTTGTTTCCAACCTGTGTATCTGTTAAAATTCAGGTCATTATGTTTCCCAGATTGGGGATCAATCCCTGCAGTGTAAGCTCCCAGATTCGTTATTCTGGCTTTTTGTACCTCTTTGTTTCTGTGCTCTTGGGGATACTTCTTATGGGCTCTGCAATACATTCACAAGAAACTATTTTACACATTATTGAATTTTTCTAGATGTTTTTATTAAGAGTTGTGTGGGTTATTTTGTCTATAACAGCACAAATGAAAGTTTTTTTATTTGCTATTTATTCTCCTTTTGAGGTATGATACATAATGACACTATTTTTTTTTTTAGCCAAAAGGTGCTTATCTTTTAATCAAGATTCAATTCATTCATATTTCTTTTTTCTTTTTTTTTGACAAAGCCTTGCTTTGTTGCCCAGGCTGGAGTGCATTGGCATGATCTCGGCTCACTACAACCTCCACCTACCAGGTTCAAGTGATTCTCTTGCCTCAGTCCCCTGAGTTGCTGGGACTACAGACTTGTGCCACCACGCTCAGCTAATTTTTTAATTTATTTTTTATTTTATTTTTTTATTTTTTATTTTTTGAGATGGAGTTTCGCTCTTGTTACCCAGGCTGGAGTGCAATGGCCCAATCTCAGCTCACCGCAACCTCCGCCTCCTGGGTTCAGGCAATTCTCCTGCCTCAGCCTCCTGAGTAGCTGGGATTACAGGCATGCGCCACCATGCCCAGCTAACTTTTTGTATTTTTAGTAGAGACGGGGTTTCACCATGTTGACCAGGATGGTCTCGATCTCTTGACCTTGTGATCCACCCACCTCGGCCTCCCAAAGTGCTGGGATTACAGGCTTGAGCCACCGCGCCCGGCCCAATTTTTTTATTTTTAATAGAGATGGAGTTTCACCATGTTGCTCAGGCTGGTCTTGAACTCCTGACTTCAGGTGATCCACCCACCTTCGACTCCCAAAGTGCTGGGGTTATAGGCATGAGCCACTGTGTCCGATCCAGTTCATTCATATTTCTTATTGGAAGTGATTTCTGTAATTTCTTACAAAATTTTATGCTTAAATAGAAACTTTCTGTTTAATTGTATTTTTTCAATTTCTTTTCTTTCTTTTTTCTTTTTTTTAATGGGGGATGGGGTCAGGCTCTGACTGGTAGCAGGTCCCTGACTGTTGTTGTCCCTACAGCCTGGCTTCTAAAAACAATAAATAAATATAATAATTTTTAAAATAGGGGTTATATTTTGTTTTTATTTTCTTCAGTATTTTCAAAGGCATATATCTTTCTTCAGAGTATATTTATAAAAGCCTTAAACTATTTGAAACCATTTTTAAACCAAGTTTACCTATTTTAAATCAGTATTTGTAAGAGTCTGAATTCCTCCTAAGTAAACAAGGGATATCAGATAGCTTTGCTGTTCTTCTCCCCATATTATTCTTCTCTTTTGTCCTAACTAATATAATTTAAACTATTAGATCTAGGCTTTAAAAATTAGAATTTTAGCTATGTGAATATTCTTTATTGAGACTACTTTTTACATTTTATTTTTATTTAAAGGGATACAAAAGTAACATACAAAAAGTTGGTTGCATATATTCACACCAGTAACAAACTATTTGGAAAAGAAATCAAAATCCCATTTACAATAGTAAAAAAATTAATGAAATACTTAGAAACAAGTTTAACTGCAAAGGTGAAAAATCTGTACATTAAAAGCTATAAAACATTCATGAGATAATCTGAAAAAAGACAAATAAATGCCAAGATATCTCATGTCCACAGGTTGGAAGAATTAATACTGTTAAAATGTCCATACTGCCCAAGGTACTATATAGATTCAACATAATTCCTATCAAAATTCCAATGGTATTCATCGCAGAAATAGAAAACACAATTTTAAAATTCATATAAAACCATGAAAAACCCCCAAGAGCCAAAGCAGGCTTAAAGAAAAACAAAGTTAGAGGCATCACACCTTCTGATTTCAAATGATATTACAAAGCTATAGTAATCGAATCAGTTTTGTACTGCCTTAAGAACAGACACACGGACCAGCGGAACAAAACAGAAAGCCTAGAAATAAGCCCAAGCATGTATGGTCAACTAGTTTTTGACAAGAGCACTAAGAAGATACAATGGAAAAAGGAGTCTCTTCAAAAAATGATGCTGGGAAAACTGGATATCCACATGCAGACAAACTAATTTGGACCCTTATCTTATACCACACACAAAAATCAACTGAAAATGGATTAAGGACCTAAACATAAGATCTGAAACTGTGAAACTCCTAGAAGAAAACATAAAGAAAAAGATCCTTGACATCAGCATTGGCAGCGATTTTTTTGGACATCACACAAAAAGCTTTGGCAACATAAGTAAAAATAAACAGGTGAGACAACATCAAATTAAAAAGGTTTTGCACAGCAAAAGAAACAATCAGCAAACTAGGCAGCCTACAGATTAGGAGAACAGATTCATGAACCATATATGTGATAAGGAGTTAATATCCAAAATATATAAAGACCCCACACCATTCACCATAAAAACAAACAAACAAAAAAACAAACCTCCAAACCCCAAAAAAATAACCCAACTAAAAATGCGCAAATAGCCTGAACAGACATTTCTTCAAAGACATAAACGTGGCCAGCAGGTATATGAAAAGGTTTTCAACTAATCATCAGGGAAATTCAAATAAAAGCCACGAGATAGCACCTCACGCCTGTTAGAATGGCTGTTGTCAAACAAAACAAGAGACAGGTGTTCGTGAGGGCATGGAGAAAAGGAAACCCAATACACTGTTGGTTGGAAGGTAAATTGGTGTAGCTATTATGGAAAACAGCTTGAAGATTGCTCAAAAAATTAAAACTACCATGTAAACCAGAAATCCCTCTTCTTTTATGCTGGAATGAAGTGTCCTCAGAATCTTGTAGAGATATCTGCACTCCCATGTTCACTGCAGCATTATTCATAATAGCCGAGTTATGGAAACAACCTGTGTCCATTAATAGATGGATGGATAAAGAAGCTGTGATACACAGATGCACACACAACACACTCACAGAAATACTATTCAGTCTTAAAAAAGAAGATCCTGCTGTATATGACAACATGGCTGAACTTAAAGGACATTGTGCTAAGTGAAATAAAGCATACACAAAAAGAAAAATACTGTATGATCTTAGTCATATATGGAATCAATTTTTTTTTTTTTTTTTTTGAAACAAGAGTTTCATTCTTGTGCAGGCTGGAGTGCAACGGCACAATATCGGCTCACTGCAACCTCCACTTCCCGGCTTTGAGCGATTCTCCTGCCTCAGCCTCCTGAGTAGCTGGGGCGATAGGCGTCTGCCACCACATCTGACTAATTTTTGTGTTTTTAGTAGAGACAGGGGTTTCACCATGTTGGCCAGGCTGGTCTTCAACTCCCAACTTCAGGTGATCCACCCACCTTTGCCTCCCAAAGTGCTGGGATTACAGGCATGAGCCACGCCACCATGCCCAGCTGTGGAATCTATTTTTAAAAGTCAAATGCATAGAAACAGAGAGTAGATCAGTGGTTACCAGGTAGAGTGGGGAGAAAATGAGAGCTATAGGTCAAAGGGTACCAAGTTGCAGTTATGCAGGATGAATTTAAAAAGAAAACATTAAAAAGCAGTTTGCAAATATTTAGACTTCTATTTTAATTGACTTTATTGCTTGACACCAAACTTCATCTTATCAGTTGGACTATATTTTTAAGTAATTTTTTTCTGAAGTGTTACAACTTTTCTGAGACCTGAAAATGTAACTAAAAGTGTTTGTTGTTTTCAACTTGCTGGAGATACATATTTTTTGTGTTACCAATTTTCCCTCTTAAAAATGCTGTTGCTAAAAAACGCCAAACCAAACCAACCGACAAACAAGAAAAACCCAAACTCTATAGCTCTTGGTTCATTTTTTTTTTCTCCTGGAATGTAGTGTTCTGAAATTAATGATACCTGTTCCATTGTAGGCATCCTGTTTTTCTATGCGGCCATGAATGTGTCTGTTTGTGTGTGTTCTTGAATAGATGTAAAATTTCTTTTAAAAAATCCATATGGTTCAAAAGCATCTAGATGTGACTATTAGGTCTTTATTCAGCTAAGAATAATGTTATGCTTTCATAGCTTTGTCATTACTTTCACAGCATTTGTTCTGGTCTCTTTTTAAAGAACTCTGAACTCTTCTGGGAACTCTCTGGGGACTCTTTAAGGTCCCTAGCACCTTGCAAGCAACTAGCACAATTTTATGTACGTTGGTTCCCTATTTTCTATCTTCTTTTTGTTTTCTATTCTCTTTTTCCATTTTTCTTTTTTGTTCATGTTGTATGCATTCTTGGGAATCTTCTCCAGTTAATCTTTCACATCATCCATTTAATGTTCAGCAGCAGCAAATTTACTCTTGACTGACCAGTGTGGTCAGTCAATGGTCAGTCTCTACTCTTGACTGATGTGGAGTTTAATTCTGACACTGCATTTTTGCTTCCTTAAAACCCTTCCTATCCCTTTCTCCTCCCCTCTTCTTTTATTCCGTTGTCTTTTCTGTTTAACCTGTTTTCTCATAAGTTTGTTTCTCTATGTTTGAATTTATGTCTTCATGTGTGCCAAGAAGTTTCCTGAAAATGTCTCTAGATTCTACAGAATGTCATTTTCAAAGGGATGCCCCTCATCTGGGTCTTGAAGGTGCTGCTCCTGCTCCTGGTTTTGCAATGTTCTAATAGATCCCTGAAGTGTCCTGATCTCTTTTTACTCCTTCTTGAGAAGGGAAAAACTCATTAATTCTTAGTGTATTTTGGTAGGCAGGTTGAGCAGATTGGCCTTGGATCCTCTCTAGCTATCTACTTGCTTGATGGCTGAATCACTTTTATAAACCTACGGCAATGCTTAATTGCCAGTTGCCAATAGGCTTCATCTAGTGTGTGTCTTCTCTACTGAGGTAGCATCTTTCCCCAGCCACCATCCCAGTCCTCTGGTGCTCTCACCTGCTATATCCCAGGAAAAACTCTGGTCAGCAGGTTGTGTCACAGTACAGTCATTACCATGACTGTTCCAGCTTCTTAATTGTTTTCTACCTGAAGAATGTATTGTGTCTTCATCAGCCCATCCATCTGTCCAGCTGTTTCTCTCATTTTTAAGCTCTTCTAAGTGTAAAAGACACTAAGGAAAGGAGAGGATGACCAGGGAAACTGTTCTTTGTTTGGCTTGAAACTGAACAACAGTGGTGATGATAGATATTTACTCCATGCTCTGGTTAGTAGAGATCCGGAGAGTCTGAGTCAAGTATCTGGAGAGAGGAAATTACAATATGCCTTCCTAGCTGTGTCTTTAAAGCAAGTTCTCTTTAGAACAAAGAGAACTTGGCATATGTCATAAATATGCTTGATAGATTTTTCTCAATCCAGCTTGATGTACCTTGTAAGTATTGTCAGTTTCTTCCACATCCTGGCAATTAGGTTGTCTGTCAGTATTTGTTCTCCTTGTTTTATAAGTCTTCATATTTGTCTGGATTTGCTGGGATATTTTTCTGAGAAGCAAGGAAAGACTTGTTGAAGGCCTCTAGCTAGAGGCCATTTTGGATGAAAAGTCCCATCGTGCATTTCATTTTTTTAAACTCGTCTCCCTTTGGAGACCATGAGATCCTTAAAGGGAGGGGCTGGGTCCCAGGCATCACTTAGTCCCAGCACTTCGCAGGCAACTGGCACAGAATTGCTGCTAAATAAATGTTGGGAGAAAGCACAAAAGAGGGAAAGGAAGCTTTTTGTTATTTGCCTACTATCCATATTAAAGTGTTTTAAATAAATCTTAAAGGATCCACATGCGCCTCAAAAAAGAATTGATGAAAATATGTCTGGCGGCTTAAGATTCTAATTAAAGGTCACCTGGGTCATGGAGTGTGTAATTGAAACTTTTATTTATGCACTAAAGCAATATTTCAAAAGGAAAGAATAGGATGTGGCAACAAAATCTTCTCATGTATAAGACATGTGTATGATCATCCTCAGGATGGATGCTATTTGTGTACCCTTTTTACTAATAAGTAGTGAATGAAGAAAAGGTATATATATGTGATGTGGGTTATAAGTGAGCAGGAAAATTCTGATAGAACAGCTATACTGGGTAGAATTATCAAGGGAAATTGTGCAATTGCTTTCACTAGAAATGCTTTCCAAACATTTAGACACAAAACTGTTTAGAGGTAGGGAGTGAACTGGTTGACTGCCCCAAAACCTTCTGGTCAGATGGGCCTCTGAGTCTTAGCAAGAGTTCAGTCACCCTTGGGTGCCTGACAGCCCTCAGCTGCTGGCCTTAGCAGCAAGCATCTGTCACTTTGAAAGAGTGATTTAGTGATATCAAATAGCTGAGTGATTAATCAAGAAAATCAGCGAGCATTTGACATCAGACAAAAAAAAATATTGCCAAGGAAATGCTTTAGGGGAAGAGGCACCCAGGCTTGGAATCCCAAACCAATGGTGCCTTCAGGGATGTTTACAAATTGTAACCCATTGCTAGAGAAAGATCAATCTTTTGCAAAGCTGAATTAATATTTAACTTGCCCAAGAAAAGTCAATTCCTTGCATTATTAGGGAAATTAACAAGCAGCCCCAAACTGACACTATTCTTGCCTGAGCCATCAGCATGTTCTAGAAGTCAACAAGTTAATGTTCCCTACTCCACCCCAATCTAATCCTCTCCTTGAATTCCTCTCACTTTTCTCTTCCTTCCTTCTTTTCCTGCTGAAGAACACTTCTTTCAAATAAAACCTAATATAGATGCCCAGTAAAAAGATAAAAAAGCTACTGGAGCAGAGGTGAGGTCTGAAGCCCCAATTCCTTGGCCACTCTCATACTTTGCTACCTGGGTATCCCCTAAGGAAGCCTCAGGGCAGTTGTAAGCTCCGGGATCAAGAACAGCACCTTCCAAGCCTCATGGTGCAGCAGAGTCAATTGGGAAGGGGAGGATATGAAATCACATTTGTATGCTGTATTAGTCAGTTCTCACACTGCTAATAAAGACATACCCAGGACTATATTTATAAAGGAAAGAGGTTTAATTGACTCATAGTTCCACATGGCTGGGGAGCCCTCACATTTGTGATGGAAAGCAAAGAGGAAGCAAGACACGTCTTACGTGGCAGCAGGCAAGAGAGAACCGTGGGCAGGGGTGGGGGGGGGAACTCCCCTTTCTCCCCTTTATCAAACCATAGATCTCATGACACTTATTCACTATCAAGAACAGCATGGGAAAAACCCACCCCCAGGGTTCAATTACCTTTCACCAGGTTCCTCCCACGACACATGAGAATTATGGGAGCTACAATTCAAGATGAGATTTGGGTGGGGACACAGCCAACACATATCATAGGCCTACCTCATCCTTACTGATATAAAATCTTTACTGACAGGCCTAGGGATCAATATTTTTTAGAGGGCCTAGTTGGTGATGTTCCTGTAATTATCCTGGCACAAGTTCAAAGTCCCTAGCAGGGTTCTACTTGAAATCCCTGTACTTGG